ACACCCTGCAGGTTGCCTGAGCGTGAGCTGCCGTGGTCATCTTGCACCAGGATGTGTAAGCAGAGCTCAGCTTTTCCTGCATATAGGAAATCTCACCTTTGTTTCCAGTACATCTTTTCACCATGATTTCTTAAAGATCATTGCCTATGGTTGAACAACCTTCTGCCAGGACCTTGGCAGATAATTTTGTCTGGCTTTGGTATCATGTTTTTTTCTTTTTAGGGATTGGGAATTGAACCTAGGGCCTTTGTACTGAAAAATATCCTCAGCCTTTTTTAATTTTTAAAATTTTGAGATGGAGTCTTACCAAGTTGTACACATTGGCCTCTAGCTTGTGACCCTCCTGCCTTAGCCTCCTAAGCCATTGGGATTATAGATACGTGCCACCATACCTGGCTTGGCCTGGGTGTCTCGGGCTGATTTGGAGTAACAGGGCATTCACCTTATCTCTTGGGAGACTACATACTTGTATGCAAGGGGGAGAGCGAAAGTTCTCCCTCGGATACGTGGTTCATTTTCATTTTCTTTCTCTCTTTTTTTTTTTTGTACCGGGAATCGAACTCAGGACCTTGTGCTTGCCAGGCAGGCACTTATGCCACTGAGCTATATCCCCGGCCCTTAGCTTTTTTTTTGTATGTGGTTCATTTTCATTACTGTATGCCCTGCGTTAATTAACTGCTGCTCTGTTTGCAGTGGGCTTGCTGAAATGGTAATGCTTGCGTGTGCAGGGTTGCATCCCTGTTTGGGGCCGGGGTAGAGCTGCTGAGTCACAGAGTCTAAGTGCCGTGGTTTTCTAATGTAGCTGCATCAAACTCCACCCTCGCCAGCACTGGGCTCTGTCACTCTGGGGCATCCATGGCAGCAGAGGGCATCACTGTGGCCGGAGACTGGTGCAGCTGAGTACTTGCTTGGTCTGTACTGGCTGTTGGTGAAGTAACTGTTAAGGTCTTTTGTCCGTTCTTCTTTTAGTTGGTCTGCTTTTTCTCTTTGTGACGTTTTAGAGTTCTTTTACTTCCAGAAGTGCTTTCTCTGAGAAGCACACCCACACCTCACTTGGGAAATGTGGGCATAGCAGAAGCACACCCACACCTCCCCCTCAGGTCTGCTGACCACGAGGTCAGGCGAGCTGGCCTTTCCAGGCTGGGTCCCCAGGCAGCCACCTGCCTTCCTGCTGTGTGTGTGGCTCAGCCCAGCCTTGCTTCTGGCCTGGGCTGTGCTGGTTGACACATTGGGTTCAGTTCACCCCTACTTCGGATGCATTCATCTTTCAGGCTACTCTAGCTATGTGAGCCATTTCTTACCTTACACGTTTGCTTATGTCACATTTGTGTCCTGGCCTGCAGTAGTGTGCTGTGGAGCCTGGGTTGGGGGATGGTTCTAACCTTTTTGCACCATCCCTTGGTTGTAGGTAGCGATGGCTGTGATCCAATCTGAGGGACACTTTAGATTCTTTAGAGCGGCTCCCCTGCATCCGGCCCTCATTTGGGCCTGGTGGGCTGGTGACAGCCAGGAGTGGGGAGCCTGTGTACTCATCCAGCCCTGCTTCCTCCCCAGGGGCCGCCCTGTCCACACAGCCGCCCTTCAGGGATTCATTTAGACTGCCTCAGAATCGGCTGTGGAAGGGACCACCCTCACCCTGCCAGTGCTGGTGAGGGGAGGAAAAGGCTCCTGCCTGAGATGAGCTGTGTTGGCTGTGCCACCCCTCCTGGCTGGTGGTAGGGACGTGAGGCTGCCTAGGAGCTCACCAGGAAGGCGGCCCAGGGGGATGGAAACACAGATAAGTCTAGGGGGAGCGTGACAAAATGTGCACGGGACCGGGAGGCAGATGGGGCCCAGCTAGGGTTGGGCAGCTCCAAACTATGAGTTTGTCTCCAAAGTGCCAGGGCCTGGTTGCAGAGAAGCAGGGGAGTGGTTTTACTGGGCAGGGCTCTGTCAGATCCTCACGGGGCTCTATGGTGGTTGGTGGAGCGCAGAGCCCTCTTATGGACAGTGCTGTCCACATGGGCAAGGCTCCTGCTTCTGTCACATGGGTGGTAGCCAAGGACAGAGGTCCCGGAGGAGGCTCCCATGAAGGATGCTTTTCTAGTACTTTGCAAGACCTCCTAGACTCAAACCCCATAGCCGCGCTAGGCCGTGGTGGTGCCCTTAGGAGCCCCAGTATCTCAGTGGGGAAGTGGAGGCCCAGGACGGAGGAGACCTGCTGCTGCAAGCTGCATAGCGAGGGAGGGCTGCACACCATTCTCCCTGTACCTGCCTCCCTGATGGCTTTTCCAGAAGAGAAGCAGAGTCTGCCCTCATTTCAGCAGTCCGTGGCCGGCTGGCATTCAGATCCGCACCTGTTGGGAAAGGTTGAGGAGGAAGGCCTGAACCCAGTTGCTGTCTGTCTCTCGTTGTCTGTGGCATTGGGACACAACAGCCTTGTCTGTCATCTGCTGCCTGGCTGCCGGGAAGCTGTTCTGGGAGTGGCTTCTTCATGCCCAGGGGACGGTAGAGGCTCGCCACAGACTGAGTTAGGGGGCAAGGTGGCACTTCTTGGGGAGGCTTGCCTGGGAGGGGTAGACAGAGCCCTAGGGAGCAGGGGGCATAAACGTCCCATTGTTCTCTGTATCCTGTTGTGTAACTCCTGCATAATTCCTGAGGTACCCAAGGTGAAGTGTGTTTTCTTTCTTTACTGTATTTACTGTGCTGATAAAAGTGTTCTAAGTGGAGCTTACACCAGAGTGAGTCATGAGGGCAGTGTTTGTTCCGACATTGTGGACAGATGGGCATGCGCAGGACCTCAGCACTGGCTCAGGCCCTCTGGTTCCTCAGCCTAGCAGCCCTGTTCCCAGACCCTGCTTGGTATCCTTGTGGCCTGTTGGTATCTGAGATGGGTGTGTGTGTGTGTCCCTCCCCAGTGAGTCCAGTGTGGGTAGAACCCATCTGTCCTGGCCTTCGAGCCCCGGGTGCAGAGCACACAGCAGCAAGTGCATGTGGTGCCCGTGGGGGCTGTGAGTGCTGGGTGGGCAGGAGCCTGCCGTGGAGTCTGGTCACGCGGCCCCCTCCAGCCCCAGGAAGGCTGTGTTCCTCAGCCTCCTCCTGTGTGCGCCTGGCTCCTCCACCACCCGTCCCCGCACCGTTTCTTCATGTGGGAACCCCAGATATGTGGGAGGGAGCAAACCATGCCCTGGAGACCCTGCTTTGTCACCCTCGTGACGAAACTTAGTCACTGGAGAGAAACCGGTGTGGAGGCACGGCCTCGCGTGGTCAGCACCTAGAAGGTGACCAGCCAGCGATGGAAAGCGCTGTTCTCACAGGCTCTTCTTGATGTGAGGTAGAGCTGTAGGGCGGGCAGGAATCCACAGTGAAATCCCACTCTGCTGGTGGATCCCAGGGATGCAGGCATTTCCCTCACACTGCTGCTGGCAGTGCCCAGTGGTACAGCCTTGTGGAGCGGATGTGGCAGTGGCTAGGGAAGCTCCCCTACATGTACTCTTTGTGCAGCGTCCACGTCCAAGGATTCATCCCAGTGATGCAGTGGAAAAATAGGAAAGGACCCATTCATGGTGGCACTGTTTGAAACACAGATCGATTATTTATTTATTTATTTAATGACGGGGTCTCTGCTACATCGTCCAGGCTAGCCTCAAATTCACTCTGTGACCCAGGCTAGACTTGACCTTGCAGTCCTCCTGCCTCAGCCTCCCAGAGCACTGGGATCACAGACATGGCCAGCATGCCTGGCGTGAAACAATGTGAGATTGATGTTACTAGACAAGGACTGGCCGACTGGCCAGCTCTTCTCGATGGAGTGCGGCACTGCTATGGGAAGAGCAAGAGCCCACATACTGTTGAGGAGCAGTGGCTGGGTTGTGAGAGGCTTGAGTGCGAGCGCAGGGGGGTGCAGTGTCTGTGGCATGGACACATAGAAGAAGGGTATGCACGTGTGCCATCTGCTCGGAAGGTGAGCCCGTGCTGCTTTCCAAGCGACCTGCGGGAACCAGGGCGCAGGTGTGAAAGCCGTGCTTCTGAGCGGGTCTCACTTTGTAGATTGGCCTTCAGAACCATTTAGATATTTAACATCATTATGAAAAAGTAAGAGGTGATGACCCTTGCAAACACTGACAGACCTTGTCAGATTTTTGTTTACAAGTTCTACTGGGGGCCTGCGGATTATAGCTCAGCAGCTCAGCGCCTTGCGCAGCGACCTGCAAGCACGAGGTCATGAGTTTGATTCCCAGTTCAAAAAGAAAGAAAGAAAAGTTGTACTGTTTGCCTCCTGTCAGTATTTGAGAACTCTTTTCTCTCAGACCATTGCCAACCCTGGATTACCACCTTTCAGAACTTTGCCAGTCCCACGGGTGGGAGTAGATTTGCTAATCCCCCCCTTTCCTGATGCCTGCCCTGTCATGCATTCGCTGTTTCATACTTGTGTGAGGTGCGAGTCAAAGATAGCCCTTTTCTCTCAGAAAGGTTTTTCTGTTGATTTGTAAAAGCCCTGTTCTGTGGATATCATTTTCACTTGTAGTCATTGCCGGGTCTGTGCTGAGTCCGGTTGCTGAGGCCCGAGCGAGTAGCTGGTTGTTAGTCTGTCACACAGCGTGACGTGCTCCTGTTACTGGGTGCTGGAGTAACTGGCCAGACCTGCGCCGTTCAGGTGCCACCATCAGGTGCCCGCTCTCTGGAGTGACAGCTGTGTTCCTGTGTTCCTGTGTCCTCCTTTCCCTGCAGGCTTTCTTACAGTTTATTATTTATATACCTGGGTAGTGAGTTGTTGTAAACGTCTGCTTAGGTTCGTTGCTGACAAATATAAAAACTAAATTTGCTTCTTTCTAGTTCGAGATTGTTCTTGATATTTAGTGACTTGCTAAGCATGTTTATGTTCTCAATGTGAATATAGGAATGAAAGGCTTGTTTTCCTGAGTGGGCGTTCACAGCACGCGTTTTTGAAGGTAGACTGGGAAGCGCTGTCTGTGGCAGGCAGCCTGGCTCAGGGTGCATCGCATGTGTTCCTCCTGCAGGTCATCACTCCCTGCAGGAAGCTCATCCTGTGTGCTGACAACAGGAAGGAGATGGAGGACTGGATCGCAGCGCTCAAGACCGTGCAGAGCCGGGAGCACTTCGAGGTTAGAAGAGCCGCCTTCCGCACACAGCGCCCTTGCATGTGAATGCTTCAGGACTCACTGCGTCTGGCTTTCCCGTGTGTGGGCCTTGTCAGAGGCTGCCTCTCAGCCGACCTGGCGCTCTGCCACCTGTCCTTTACAGTGTCCTCCTCCTCTCCAGGATACTTTGTTCCACTTGTTCAAAGTGCTCATTTAAGAGTGGAAGGGCGCCTTACCCCTACTGTCTGTTTCGCTCTTCTAGCCCACCCAGTACAGCATGGACCATTTCTCAGGGACGCACAACTGGTACGCCTGTTCCCACGCGCGGCCAACCTACTGCAATGTGTGCCGGGAGGCCCTGTCCGGGGTCACGTCCCACGGGCTGTCCTGTGAAGGTATGAGCGCTGCCTTTGTGCTTCTCTTACAAAAGGTGGCCTGCGGTTGTCCTTGGCGGAGCCTTGGAAATCCAAACACAGGCATAAAATCCACCAGCCCTGCAGTCAGTCCAGAGTCCCCTGCATGCTTGTGTTTTACCCACAGAGGAGTCTGCGATATACCAGCTTTTATGAAAGGGAGATGGTAGACTTCAAGCACATGGACTGGATACACAGGGATAGTCAGACTGCACTGCTCTCTGGTCCTACAGACAGGGTAAAAGATGTCTCACAGGCATTGAGCAGGGACCTTATGCAGGGAGTGTGAGCCTGTGGTCAGGTCCTGTCTGCCGCATAGTTTCTTTAGCTTGTGAGTTTGACATTTTAAATGGTTGAAAAGAGCTGGGCATAGTGGCACACACCTGTAATCCCAGTACTTGGGAGGCTGAGGCAGGAGGATTGCTGAGAGTTTGAGGCTAGCCTGGGCTACAGAGTGAGTTCAAGGCCAGTATGAACTACACAGGGAGACCCCATCTCAAAAACAAAACAAAACAAAGGCTGAGAAGATTCAGAAGAAGCTTGTGTGACCCTCAGGAGTCAGATGACCTCAGACTTCAGAGTCCACACAACATGGCCCCGCCTTCATGTTGCAGTCTGGCTGAGGGGTTGTGTCAGCTGCATGTGGGGCCTGCGGACCTCATCTGCCCACCACCTGTGCTGGTCTCCCTGCCTCATTCCTCATCCCAGGCTGAAGCTCACAGAGACGGCTGTGACCGAGAGCCCCATCATCCCCAGCTTCCCCGACAGGCTGCCTTCCCTGAATGGAGGTGCCCGTTACAGACGGTGCCTGTCGCTTTGTGTGCTCCTCTCACAGTGTGCAAATTTAAGGCCCACAAACGGTGTGCTGTGCGCGCAACCAATAACTGCAAGTGGACCACGCTGGCTTCGATCGGGAAGGACATCATTGAGGATGAGGACGGGGTACGTGTCAGGGTCTTGCCGTGTGCTGCCCGGCCTGGCCGCTCGCTCCCCCGGCTGTTCTGTGTGCGCATCAGCTAATGGTGTAGGGGCCACGTGGCCGCCCGGGCTCCCCACTGTCCTGACCCCATGAGCCTCATAGCACAAGCCCTGGTGGGCACACGGCAGGCCCCTCCCCAACACTGCCCTTCACCACTCCTCAGGCTGGGGCAGTGTCGTAGCCTCGGGCTCTGCTGCCCTTATGTCGCAGTGCAGGGTGTCCCCAGCGTGTCGTGTCCCCCTTGCTCTGCAGATCGCCATGCCCCACCAGTGGCTGGAGGGAAACCTCCCGGTGAGTGCCAAGTGCACGGTGTGTGAGAAGACCTGCGGCAGTGTGCTGCGCCTGCAGGACTGGCGCTGCCTGTGGTGCAAGGCCATGGTGAGTGGCCGGCGAGGGGCCCTGCGCGTGCGGGATGCGTGGAGAGGCAAGGGGAGCTCTGTGCTCCGGGCCCCAGGCTGGTGGTTGAGGTGGTTATGCAGTTCCCTGGTTGGAGCCGGGCTGGCCAGGAGGAGCCAAGGCACGGGCAAGCGCACCCAGAGGCTGCTGCCCAGGAGCCCAGGCCCTCGTCCTGACAGTTACTGGTGTCTGCGAGGGAGGTAGGGGTAAGGGCCATTCCTTCCCTCTGCTCATGTGAGCAGCGCTGGTCTGTCAGGTGAGACCAGGACTCTGCTCAGTGGGAGCAGGTCAGCTGCCCCGATAGTGCCTGCTGCTCCACAGCCAGGCATCCTGGTGTATGTGGGAGGTGGCTGAGCCCTGGTGACAGGGGCATTCTGTTGCAGGTCCACACGTTGTGTAAAGAGTCCTTGATGACCAAGTGTCCGCTTGGCCTGTGCAAGGTGTCAGTCATCCCTCCCACGGCGCTCAACAGCATCGACTCTGATGGTGGGTCCTCTGAGCCTGTGCTGTGGTCAGCGAGAGGCTGGCCACAGTTGTGGGGTGGGAGGAGGCCATGGAGAGGGGATGTGGCATCCTGGAAGTTGCTACAGACACACTTAAGCAGTGAGGCTGACATTTTCCCTGAAGGTGATGGGTCCGTTTGGCTGTCAGGTGGGAACTGGTCTGTGGCCTCTGGCTATGCTAGGAGCTGCAGGAGCTGCGCGCGTGCCTGTGTGCTGGTTTTAGCCGGCTGGCTCAGTGCTGCTTGCATATGTCCAGCTGGCACACGGTGCCACGTGTTGGCAGACTGGTGCAAGATCTCTGGGGTGTGTAGTTCAGAGGAAGTAACTGTCAGATGGGTGGGGGCACGGGTGTGGCCAGTGTAGCCATGTGAAGGTCGGAGTCCTCCTAATGCGAAGTCAGATTGGGTGGGACTCACCTGTCACGGGGAGTAACATTGTGGAAGTGTGCTTGTCTGGCGCTGATTCAGTGCCATGTGCGTGTGGGTCCCTGGCCCCCTGCACCACCTGCTGCTGCTTATTGGTCGCTCCTTTCCACCTGCACAGCTTACCTGGCTTCTCCTGTCCTGTTCCCTGTTCACACCTAGGGTTCTGGAAGGCCACCTGTCCCCCGTCTTGCACAAGTCCCCTCCTGGTCTTTGTCAATTCTAAAAGTGGGGACAACCAGGGCGTGAAGTTCCTCAGAAGATTCAAGCAGCTGTTGAACCCTGCCCAGGTCTTCGACCTCATGAACGGAGGACCGCACCTTGGGTAGGAGACTTACAAAGTGTGTCTTTTTGGGAGTTCCGTTGTTTTGTAAATAAGGCTTGTTTATTTATAAGGTACAGAAAATTTAAAATAGGAAGCAGTCTGTCTCAAGCTGCCTCTCTCCGGTCCCACTAGAAGATTGCTCTTAATTGATGGAGGTTTGCACACATGCACGTGTACACACACACACTACACACACGCAGTGCAGCCACATACACATGAGCCTTCCAAGCTGGCCAGGCCCCCACTTCAGTTGCTGCCGGGCAGCCTGCCGTGCACACGCATCTGCCGCAGCGCCCGTGTCTCTGGGTCACTGCACACAGGCCTGCCGCCCTGCTTGCCGGCTGCTCTGTCCCTAGGAAACAGCTTTCCTTCAGGGAGGCCCAGCCTGTGTCCCCTTGGTGCAAAAGATGTCCAGGTGCACAGGGCCCACAGGGCTGGGCGCATGCTTCCATCTGTAAGCCCATGTGTGTCCTTCCAGTTCTGAATTTAGCTCAGCTTCGTAGAAAACCATGTGCTTCCATAAGTTTTGCCATTTGTACTAATTTCATCCTTATCTAGAGGGCCTGTTCAAGGCGGGCTCTGAGAGAGCGCTGGCGGCTTGGGGAGTTGCTGGCCTGATCGTGGCCATGCTCCAGGCCCGCTGTCTGGTGTGCGCTCACTCGCTCCAGCAGGCGCCTGCCCCCTGAGCTGGGCCAGGAGGGAGGGTGTTGTCCTTGGAGCCTGTGCTGCTGTAACTTGAGCTGGGCTGACTCACTGCCTGTCCTTGGCTGACACCCCGCCTGCGCGCGTGGGGCACGCTGCCCGGTGTTCTGTGCACACTGGTCCTTCGTGTGCCTTACGGGTTGGCTTCCCCGCTTGCATCAAGGCCTGCTGGATAGAAGCCCCACAAGGCAGCCTGTTTGCTCAACGACAGTGCTCCCTGGCTCTGCAGGCAGCCCCCTCTCCCGTCTCATGGGGTCATGTCCACCGAGCCGCAGGAAGAAGTGCTTCAATTAAGAAAGGGACGTGGAGATGCCTCACCTTCCATGTCAAGCGAGGGAGGCCAAGTAGCTAAGATGCTTAATGGGCTGCCAGGGACACTCGCTGAGTGCTTCATAATGGCTTGGGCAGGGCAGCAGCACAGCAGAGCTGGAGAAGAAGAACTGTTAACTCTGGCATGCACGCAGAATTCCCCAGTGTGTAGTCAGAGTTAAGTGTGTGATGACAGCTGGGTGTGGCACTTACAGCCTCTGGAAGGCTGAGGCAGGAGGATTGTAAGTTTGAGACTGGGCATGGGCAATTTAATGACTTAGGCCGTGTCTCAAAATAAAAAATAAATAAAGGACTGGGGGTGTAACTTAGTGCAGAGGTCCTGGGTTCAATCCCCAGCACTGTTAAAAAAAAGGAAAAGTATGTGAAGAGACAACAGGGGCAGACATGGGCAGCTGGGGTCGCATCAGTGCAGTGGCGCCCCAGTTCTCTGGCAGCTACTAGGAAGGGGCGTGGGAGTCAGGCCAGCCTCAGTGTCTCCGCTGTGCTGGTGTCCGGCAGAGCTGGCGTGCGCACTGTGCTTCCACCCATCTCCCCACGTGCACGGGGGAGGGGGCCGGGCCGGGCCCACGCGGGCAGCTGCTGCCGAGGGAAGGCTGCGGGTGTGCGCTGAGAGGCGAGAGGTTCAGCTCTTCCTTGGGGTGAGGTCGGCACCCTAAGGGGAGGTGCTTGAAGAGAGGAAGGGCAGTGGCCGGGCCCAGCCGGGCATAGTGAGGGTGGGGGAGAGCGCCAGGGGTGGCCGACACGTCGGGCCCAGGTGGTGGTGCTCGTCCTTGAGGAGGGACGTGTCCTGCTCGAGCAACTGTGGGACTCCGGGTGGCTGTCCTGGTGACCAGGTGCGGGTGTCGATTTGGGGTTGTGAGTGCTGGTGCCATTACAGAATTGGAGACACCGGTGGGGCCCAGCAGGAGGACGGTGAGGAATGGGCCGAAGGCAGCTGGGGTACCCTGGGCTGGGACCCGGTGTGGGGGGCCATGTGACAAGCAGGAATCCCAGGGAGGAGACTGAGAGGACTTACAAGGGGAGGGGGCCGGGTCACCTCACCTGCAGAGTTAATTGCTGCTGAGGAGACAGGCAGGGGACATGCAGAATGCTAGGCAGAGACGCGACTGCCTCTCCTGGGGTTGAGTGCCCAGGCTCACCGTGCAAGGCAGTGCGGGGCATACCGGAGGACAGTCATGGGCGGCAGGGGTGGGCTGTAGCGGGCCGCGTGGAGTCTGGTGCTGCTCGGGCTGCAGCATCTCCAGCCTCTTACTCGGGGATGGACCCCGGCCCTGGCTGGAGGGCTGCCTGGGCCCACGCAGACAAAGGGCAGAGTCAGCACAAGAGCAGCGGCTTCCCACGACTGCATGTTGTCTCACCGACTCTCTTTTCTCTGCAGCTTGCGGTTATTCCAGAAGTTTGACACCTTCCGGATTCTGGTTTGTGGCGGGGATGGTAGTGTTGGCTGGGTCCTCTCTGAAATCGACAGCCTCAACCTTCACAAGCAGGTGCCTGGCGCGGGGAGCCTAGCCTGGGGTGGAGGGGCCAGGGTAGAGAGCAGCGCAGTCTTTGCCACTCGTGGTTCAGGGCTTCTGCCCATAGCGGGGCCAGTGAAGGGGGTGGGGGCTGTGCAGGTTGTGGGCGGAGGGCAGGAGGGAGAACAGGACAAGAGCCCCGGGGCATCTTGGGTGCCCTGGTCCTACAGGGCTGAGGTATGGGAAGTTGGAGTGGGCAAAGGGAGCTGCCTCAGGCGCCAGGGCCAGCTGGTCTGGGGGGCCGCTGTCCTCCTTGCCCAGCTCTTCTCTGAGGGTGATGCAGCTCACTCTTGCTTGGCGCCTCTGGCCTGGAAGGAGAGGAGGGAAGCTCCCTCAGCTCCTTGAGTTCAGTGTTGCTCGCTAGATCCAGTTTTTGTATTAAGATAAAAATAGATCTTCCAAGCTGTATATTCATGGTTTTATTCCCAACCACCCCTCCCCGCAAGTGAGTAGTCCCCGTGACATCTCTGTGACCGTCTCAGACTTGTGTCCAGATGCATACAGTACAGTGTGTAGTGCAGTTTTAAGCAGACTCAGGTTGCCCTTGTGTGCCCCTTCCTGCGCTCTGTGCTCCGTAGTACGCCAGGGAGCCTCGAGCTGCCCTCAGTGAATTGCTCTGCGCGGCAGTGTCCCTGCAGCCTGGCTGCTCACCTCCAGTGAGTGGAGCTCAGGCAGCTCTGGAACACCTGAGTCTTTGTTTTTCCAGGGGCCACTCTGGGTAAACCCTGGGTTGGGTCCCTCTGTCAGAGCTGTGCTGCCCTGTGTCCCCTCTGTGACCATGGGGCTCATCTTTCTAGTTTTGCCCAGCTAAGCAAATAAAGTCTTATCTTTGCAGTATTTCTTTAATTCTTATTAAGTCAAGCATTGTCTCAGTTGACAGACAGTAAGGTTTTGGGTGAGTTGTCTATTCATGTTTTTCTCTCATTTTCTTTTGTAATATTCAGTGTATTTTAAGCAATTGATGTCTGATTGTCATATTGTCTGTCATTGCAGATTTTGTCCCCCAGTTTGTCATGTGTCAACCATTTTTTTGGTTGTCCTTTCCTTTGTGGCTTTTGTCATTTGTTCTGTTGAGACACCTGGTCACAATGCACGATAACCCGATGCTGATCTGTGTGTTGTCTTACTCGCCCACGCTTCGCTGCCGGCGGCCGCAGCCAGGGCCTCACACTAAGCAAGGTCTCTGCCACTGAGCTGCACCTCAGCCCATCGTTAGGACCCTTTTAAAAAAGCAGCTGAGCGTCTGTGTGCCCGGAGCACATTTTCAGTGACTTGAGTCCTGTGCCCTGAGCCGGGTCACAGAGCTGCCTTCGTGGCTGTGCCATAGGAGTGTAACAGCAGGAGTGTGGCGATGACCTGGGGCCAGCCCACCACGGCCAGGCCAGGCCAGGCCAGAGTGCAGGAAAGGCGAGCGGCACCTTCCGGTAACAGCAGCAGAGCAGCCTGCGTCGTTCTGTTGGTTTGGTGGAGGCCTGTCTAGTGCACTGTCGAGCTCACTAGCTGAGAACACAGTGAAGTCTAGGGGTTGAGTCCATGATTATGCTGAATGGCTCTCTTGAGCATTCATCTCTGATTTCCCTGTGGCCCTGGGTGCTCCTCCAGCCACAGCCCCCCCGCCCCCCAGTGGCATTGCTTTCTTCTCCTGGCTCCCTTTACCTACCTCCTTCACTCTTCTGAGGCAGCTTGGTGACGTGCAGAGGTTTGGCTGCTGTGTGTCCCCAAGGACGTCCTGGGCCTTCTGGCTCAGTGCTGCAGATTGCCAGCCCCTAGCTGTCCCCCGCCCCTAAGCCTTTCTGTGCAGCCTGAAGGGCATGGTCCATCCGGGTGACTGAGTGGAAGTCTCAGTCGCTCTTGAGTCTGTGTTCCCCCGTCCCTGTGTGCCAGCGCAGGTGCTGTCTCGCCGCCTCCCGCTGCCTAGGCCATCATTGTGTTACCCAGCCCCCGCCTGTTCTGTCCACGTTCACCTGGGCGGCACCCTCAGCCCCACCATGGGCAGGGTGCACCCCAGCAGTGAGCCGCAGGAGCCCGATCTGGCCTTCTGCTTGTCTGCTTCTGCCTCCCTCAGAGCCCTCCTGTGCCCTGAGCTCTGGAAAGCCTCTGCCAAGCCTAGCCCCTCCTCTGGCCTGTGTGTCCCCTCGAGTGTCCACTGCTGCCTCCTGTTTCACCCTTGTCATGCTGCTGTCCCCACAGATTGGCAGGGGGGGGACAGGTGGCTGTGCAGTGCTGTAGGCAGGGCGGGCCGTGCCCCAGCCTCAGGACTGTGACCTCTGTGGGCTGTGATCTGGCTGGTCACTGTCGTCTGTATGGGCTGCTGGAGAGCTCTGGGCAGCCCACACTGGGGGCCCTGAGCACAGACCTGGCTGCAAGGGCTCCAGGGTGGGAATGCTATGTGCAGGGCTAGGCTCTGGGCAGTGGCAGGTGGGGGACCTATGGCGTCTGTTTGGTGGGTAGCCCTCCCGTGTTTATTCTGACAAGACTTTGAAGCCATCAGAAGTGTTTTAAGAGGTACAGAGGGACAGTAGCGAGGGCCATGGAAGGGAATTTGGCCTTGATCAGGGGCTGTCCTTCACATGTGGGCCCAAGTGCAAGAGGGAAGGATGGGCTTTGGACAGCCCCTAGGCCCCAAGGTCTGGAGGGTAGATCGTCAAGGGAGGGAACAGCCTAAGAGGTAGGCTTCGCAGATGAGGGCCCAGTAACTCTGGCCTCTGCTGCTGCGTCACAAAGACACCTGTTCCCATGGTGGGCTCTGCTGGGAAGTGCAGGCCACATGCCTCAGGTCAGTCTCATACACACTGGGTGTGGCTGTCACAGCAGGCCTCCGGGGGGCAGCGGGGGCTTCTTGCTTTCCTGTGTTTGAGTGCACGTCCTCCCCACTGTTTCATGTTAGTGTCAGCTGGGAGTACTGCCCTTGGGGACAGGGAATGACCTGGCCCGTGTGCTTGGCTGGGGCGCAGCCTGTGATGACGACACCCAGCTCCCCCAGATCTTGGCGAAGCTGGAGCGGGCCAGCACAAAGATGCTGGACAGGTGAGTGGACCGCCGTGCTGTGTGGAGCTGTAAAACTTTGACCTAAGCATATATTCCTTTTCTGATAGTTCTTGGTTCTGGTGAGATTATAAAAAAGATCCAAACAACACAGGTTATGAATCATGCCCTCGAGTGGCCAGGTCTTCTTATGAGCCGCAGCTGGGGCGCGGTGGAGAAGGGGGGCCCCTAGCCTTTGGCCGTCCTGGCCCAGACCATTGGCAAAGTGCTCCATTGGCACGCTTGAGCGAGCCACCTTCCATTCGCAGGAGGAGGTGTTTCAGGTAATTGTTCTCCAGGCTTCAAGTGGGTGCTTCTGGTTCTGAGCTGGATGGCAGCGTCCACTGGCCAGACGCTGCTGTGGGTGTTGGTGATGGTGAAGCACTCCCACTGGGGGCCTCCTCAGTAGGGAGGATCGAGGGGCCGTGGTGCCGGGGCAGCCCTCTGCAGGGGGGGAAGCCGCCTCTCCCAATGGCAGCACCTTTCAAAGACGCTGTCTATGGGGACTTGACTGCTGGCTTCCCTGGGCCCCTCGCTGGTGGCATATCTTCTCCTGGTTCCCTTCACCTGCCCCGAGATGGAGAGGAGACCTTGGTTCTCATGGATCAAAGAGCCGAGCAAAGGGGATCTGTGGAGTTGGAACGGTGCTCAGGCCAGGTCTCCAGGCCACAAAACTTGAGGGTGCAAGGACTGCCTGGGGGCGCCGGCCTAGCTGACGCTGCTCCCCTGTAGGTGGAGCGTCATGGCGTACGAGACCAAGCTCCCTCGGCAGGCTTCCTCCTCCACCGTCACCGAAGACTTCAGCGAGGACTCCGAGGTACTGCATGGCCGCGGTCTCGGGCACGCTGGGCCTGCCTTGGAACCCGCTTGTGTGGCCTGACCCTGTGCTCACCATTCACACAGCCTGGCTTCTGGCCGCTCTGGGGAGGAGTCTGCCATCACCCTGCAGGGACCTGGCTGGGCGGATGCTCACTACCGACTTCAGTGATCTGCTAGGGGTTTCCTGGGCTCTCACCAGGGCTTGGGGAAGTGTGTCCCGGTGGCCTTCCCTGTGACTCCCTGATCCTGGGTGTCCTCAGCTCCGCAGCCTCCCCTGCGTAGTTGTGCTTATTACTCCCAGCAGCCCTGTACCCACGCCCATGCTCCACCCCATGCCCTGACTTGGGCGCCCTTCCCTGAGCCTGCCAGGATTCAGCCTTGAGTTGTCTTTGGTCAGTGGCTGTTACTGTTGTGCTTTAGCTCCGAGTTCCTGAAGCACAGACCTTGTCTCCTTCCTTCTGGTGACGTCCTGCACTGGTGTAGGGCTGGGCACACGATGTGCTCGTCACATCGAGCTGGACGCTGGCTGAGTGGAACAGGACTGTGCCTGTGTGTTCTGGCAGCCAAGGGGCCAGGGCAGTGGTTGGCAAACAGGGCTGTAGGCGCAACTGCCCAGCTGCCTCAGCCTGGCCTTTTTTTGAGAGGAAGAGTGTGTGAAGTTTAAAGTACTCACCTGGGCCAGTAGTGAAGCTTGCTGGGCCTCGGACAGGGTGGGAACAGCCACGTGGCGGTGGTGCCCTGGCGTCAGTAGGCAGGGCCAGCAGGGAAGACATGGCTCTGATGCACTGTGGTGGAACTCGTGGCTTGATTGCACGTGTGGCCTCTGCCCTGCCAGCTCACCACAGAGGACGGATGGGTTAGGGTATGGGGCCCCTCGAAGGCCACCTCGGAACCTCAGACTAAAGCAGGAGAGCGTTGCTGTGGACAGGTTCCTTTTTGCTCAGACCTGTCTTTCGGTCTGTCTGCAGCTTAACGGGGCTTCCATCATCTCCCCCAGAGCACTAGCAGGCTCATGTTAACCCCCGAATGAGCCGAGGCTTCGGCTGAGGGGGCAGGGAGCACAGAGGAAGCTGCCTGTGCTGGATGGGAAGGCCTTGGACTCAGGGTCGTGCACAGAGCTCTCCGGTGATCGTGGGTGACCCGCCCCCTTGTCTGGGGCGATTGCAGGTGCAGCAGATCCTCTTCTATGAAGACTCGGTTGCAGCCCACCTTTCTAAAATCCTGACCTCAGACCAGCACTCCGTGGTGATCTCGTCAGCCAAGTGAGTGTGTGGTCTTGGGAAGGCAGGGCCTCACCCGAGGGTGCCCACAGTCCCAGCCCATTCTGTTCCTCCCAGGGTGCTCTGCGAGACAGTGAAGGACTTTGTGGCCCGTGTGGGCAAGGCCTATGAGAAGACGACCGAGAGCTCAGAGGAGTCGGAGGTCATGGCCAAGAAGGTCCGTTGCAGGCCTGCGGGAGGGGCCAGTGTGTAGGGGGTGCTCCTCATACCTGTGTGTCCCCACCCAGTGCTCCGTCCTGAAAGAGAAGCTAGACTCACTCCTCAAGACCTTGGATGACGAGTCCCAGGCCTCATCCTCCCTGCCCAACCCGCCCCCTACCATTGCCGAGGAGACAGAAGACGGGGACGGGGCGGGCAGTGTCTGTGGCTCTGCTGGGGACCGCCTGGTGGGCTCAGCGTGCCCTGCCCGGCCGCAGATCTTCCGGCCCCGGGAGCAGCTCATGCTTCGAGCCAATAGCCTGAAGAAGGCCATTCGCCAGATCATAGAGCACACGGAGAAAGGTAGCGGGCCCGGGGGGCAGACCTGGAGGGACGCCTGAAATACTGCCCTGGCGCTTGGCCTTCATCTCTCACCCCGTAGGCCCCCCACGCCTCGGCAGCGAGCGTGGTGCCTTCACCTGCACACCTGTGCTCAGAAGCCACTTCACACCCTTTCCCTGGCTTCGCTCTAAGCAGTGTGAGCCCTGTGCTCACGACCTCCACCTGGCACCAGTGTGCTGTGCCACCTGCTGCCTGTTTGCTGTCACCTGGCGCCCTCGGTGGCCTTCTGCTCCTGGGGTCCTCCCCAGCTTGTTAGCACTGAGGGTGGGGACGTGCGCAGCAGGTGGGTGGCTCTAGTCTGAGCCCTCAGAGGGCCCCCGGGGAGCGCAGGCCGTCATGCCAGGCTCAGCTGCAGTGTCTTCTCCGTCAGCGGTCGACGAGCAGAACGCCCAGACGCAGGCGCAGGAGGGCTTCGTACTAGGCCTGTCTGCCTCAGAGGAGAAGAAAGACCTGAGGAAGGAGGACAAGGTGTGCCCACCGCCGGCCCACAGCGAGGGCTGTGGGGTCCTCAAGGGCAGGAGCCACCGCAGAGGTACAGCTTTGGGCATTGGGCTTCACTTCCGGGACATGTGGCGAGCATGCTCGTTGCCCGGAGCTTTGGGGAGCTTTCTTGTCGTTGCTTTGGCCGTGTCAGAACTCATGGCTCGGGTTGGTCTGGGGGACGCTGGTGGGACCTGTGGAGCTGGAAGAGGATCCCGTGTCTGCCCCCTCTGCCTTTGCCTCCGAGCTGCTCCCATGAGGACCCAGGCCCTCCAGGCACAGAGCCCGGCCTGGCCAGGCCGCTGAGGGACGGACTCTGAGCTGGGTGGCCAGCACTCAGGCTCTGTGGCCAGCCCCTCTGTCCCAGAGCTGCCATCTGTGGTCGGTGTGCCCTCCAGATGAATCCAGGCCTTATTGAGCCTCACGAGACACACACACACACACACGCACACACCCTGCCTAGGAACTCCCCCTTCCTCTCGCACCCAGGACAGCGCTGTGCCAAGTGACAGCGGTTTGTAGCCCTCCTGTCTGCCCACTGCCCCCTCCTGCCCGTTTTGCTCCGGCTCGCGATTTTAGCTGTGTCGGTTTGGACAGTCTGAAGGGCTTCTGTCCTGTTTCACAGTGTCCCGAGCCCCCTGTGAAAAGCTGATGAGCAAAGGGGGTCTGTCTGTGGGCAGCTCTGCCTCTCTTCCTCCCCAGACGGGAAGCCGGGACAGCCTGCCAGCGCTGAACACCAAGATCCTGTACCCAAGTAGGTGCTTTGTGCCCCCCCAGTCAGTGGCCAAGCCTGTCACTTTGCTGGGTCCAGGGTTGGTGTGGGTACAGTGGTGGTACTGTCCCAGAGAGCTTACAGGTCTATAGAAAGATAGACGTAACCTCAGCACTGCTGCGACGGCATGAAAATGCTGACAGGAAAGCCCAAGCATTGCCCAGGGAGCCCAGGAAGACAGTTTTCAGGTGTCTTGTAGGTGTTAGGCTCTGTGCCCAATATACCTATTTTTGCCCCATAAGTATGGGAAGATAGTGACTGTTGACCTACTGACGGTTAGAACTTGGTCGCGCTCATTCGCTGTTGGGGAGCCGTGTAACGGCAGTGCTCTGCAGCACCCGTGGCTGCGGTTCTCACGGGCCTCCTCTTCTCCCGCAGGCGTTCGGGCTGGGATGTCTGGTTCCTTGCCTGGCGGCTCAGTCATCAGCCGCCTACTGATTAATGCTGATCCCTTTAATGCTGAGCCAGAAAACCTGTGAGTATGAGGGTGCGCTCTGTTAAAAGAAACGGGCTTCAGAACTGACCGGAGCAGTCGTCAGGCAGTGGGTCAGCTGGTCCCTTCCCACTTGGTGTCAGCCACTCAGGAAATCTTGAGACCAAGCTCAGCTTACGGGGTGTGACAGGGCTACCTCCCGAGCCAGCTGTGGGAAGGAGAGGGCGGGCGGGCCTCTCTGCCAGGTCACTTCCGGAGGCTTGTGGCAGCCCCTGCACTCCTGCTGAAGGCTGGCTTTGTGCTTGTTCACGGTCACCTCCAGCTGTGGGGCTCTGGTGACTTGCTGGCCCCATACTGAAGCTTCTTTCCTGCTCAGACCCTCCCTCCCCTCGCGGCTGTCTGCTATCCTGGTCGGTGATGGTTCCAGGGCTGAAAAGTCAGCTGTGGGGATGTGGCCTTCTTCCCCTAAAGTTTGTGAGGCAGTGAGGGAAGATATTTTTGGAGCCACTTAACCAGCCTTGTCTGTTAGAGACGGTTGCTGACGCTAAAGAAGCTGAAGTCTCTGTCTGTCTTCCTGCTGGCTGACGGCAGGCTCTGCGCGGCGGTGCCCTGGCGCACCGTTCGGCATGGTGGGGCTGGGGCGGGGCTTGTGTGCTTCCCAGGAGCTCCTCACATTTGGGAAAGTGTTGCTCTGCACTTCACTTCTGGCCCATGGCACACACAGCCGCCCGCTCTTAGGCCTGGCCTCTGCTTTCCTCGGGCTGAGCCGTCGGACGCAGGACCAACACTACAGTCCCTCTGGGAGCAGTGTCTTTGGGGATCCCCCAGTCCAGACATTTCCTTTGTTTCCCTCCTCTGGGGTCACTGGAGTCCTGCCCACACTAGGCCTGCACCCCTTCACCCAGGGCGGTAGGCCACGCTGTCTGCCTCCTACACAGTGCTGGCACCGAGGCTCCGGGTGGGTGGGTGGGCCATGACCGCTCTAGGCAACCACAGTTGCCGGCCTGCTGGGCCCCTGAGCCTGGTCTCCTCCCCTTCCCCGGTGCCCTGCCCCCTTTTCCTCAGTTCTCTCTTTTCCCAGGACCTAAAAATACTGAGGGTCACGTGGGCTTCAGCTTAGAAAACAGTGCTGTTCCTGAGCTCTGCTCTCAGCCAGCTGTTGAATGAGATATTTCCTCAGAGCACTTCCATGTGGTGTTTGGGTCTCAGATGAGCTGCAAACTCCTACAGCAGAGTGGAGCAGAATTCTGGTCCAACCTGTTCCCAAGCCCCTCTCCCTGCTGGGTTTCTATGGGGACGTCAGGGACATGCTGTGCTTGCTGCCTCCTTCCTAGCCGGTCCCAGAGGGAAGCCCGGGGGCCCCTGTAGCCCATGCTGACCAGCTGAGGCCCGGGCACAGGGGCGGGTGCGGGGGCTAGGATGGCTGTTTTCAGGCCACTCCTTTTAATTTGGGGATTGCTTCATGGGCTAGGGGCCTGTGGGAAGGGTTTTGAGATGTGCAGTTGAGATGAGTGGGTTTCTGTACCTCAGAGATCTGTGCTGGCCCTGCTGGCGCAGCTGTGATAAACAGGCTGGCAGCTCCCCAGAACAGGAAACGAGCCACCTTGGGTCCCAGAGGTCCTGCCTGCACCCCCACTGGGAGATCCGAGAGCCTCTGTCAAGAGCCAGGCAGCCAGGGAGACGTGAATGGTCGGCAGCTGATGAATTTTTGCAAGTGTGGTATATTCATACCATGGGATAAACAGTGTTGGATAGATGCTGCAGTGTAGAGGAACTTTGAAAGCATAAGGGAAAGGAGCCAGTTACAAAAGGCCACATACTATACCTCAGTAAAGCTGTTCCCAAAAGCACGACAGCAGAATGTGGTCCTGGGCCCTGCGTTCCAACACCTGCACTGCAGAAAGCGAAAACAGCCCCTGAAAACACAGAATGTACCCTTCTTGGCGCAAGGGAGAGATGGTAGGAGTCTGTGAGACAGACTTGCCATGCTGGCTGTGGTAATTGGTTTAAACTCGCCTTCTCAGCGAGTACTACACGGAGAAGTGTGTCATGAACAACTACTTGGGCATCGGCCTGGACGCGAAGATATCGCTGGACTTTAACAACAAGCGGGACGAGCACCCCGAGAAGTGCAGGTGGGTATGGCCTGCCTCCTGCGCCCTGCTCTTGTGTCCTTGAGGCTTTTTCTACTGCGAGGCAGGTTCCTAGTTGGTGGGGCAGAGGAGCAGCAGGATGCAAGGCAGGAGGCGGAGATGGAGCCTGGCACCTAACTGTAGGAGCAGAGGTGCGGGTGGAAGCGGGAAGCGGCGCAGGAGGCTGCCTTGGCAGTGGGCTCACCCTGAGGGTTGGTGAAGTCACACAAGGTGGACATCAGGAAGCCAGTCACCAGGTCCCCTGGAATGGGCTGTGTGTCTTTAATGAGCATCATAAACCTATGACAGGGGCTGGGGATTTAGCTCAGCGGCAGAGCGCCTGCTTGGCAAGCGCAAGGTCGTGAGTTCGATTCCTGGTACCAGAAAAAAAAAATAAATAAATAAACCTATGACAGAAGCAGGTGGTATAAAGTTATGCAAATAGCTGGGCGTGTGGTGCAGGTCTGTAATCCCAGCACTTGGGGGGCTGAGGTGGGAGGATCACTGAGTTAGAGGCCAGCCTGGCCTACATAGCAAGATCCTGCCTCAAAAAACAAAACAGAAACACAGACGTGCGCGAAGAAGTCCCTGTGCCGGCACCGTTGCGGGGGAGGCTGCGCTTGCCGCCCAGCTGTCCACGGTGCCTTCTTTGCCCGCAGTACATGCGGAGGGTGATAGGGCGGGTGCACAGAGGTGTTGGGATTTGAAGATTATTTTTCCCTTGGTGCTTTTCTGCATTGTCCATGTTTTCTGTGGAAGCATCATTTTGTAGCCAGAAGAGGTCCATGATGTACTCTTCTTGCCAGGTTTATTTGCCTTTCAGGGCGTGATGATGTTCTTGGCAAAGTGTTATTCTTTAGCAAAATCTCCACTGGCATCTGCAAGATGAGGACAGCGTCCTGGCCTGGCCTGGCCCAGCCTGCTGAGGGTGCCTGGTTGGCGACCAGGGCTGTCGCAGGCTTCTCAGCTGAGAAGGCCTTAATTTTGTTTCTAGGAGCCGGACCAAAAACATGATGTGGTACGGAGTCCTGGGCACCAAAGAGCTGTTGCACAGAACCTACAAGAACCTGGAGCAGAAGGTCTTGCTGGAGGTGAGTGAGGAGGGCTCCGGCACCCGTGGGTGCTGGCCCACGCCTGCTGTGGGCCCCTGCTGCACCACCTTTGCGTGTGCTGTGGATGCCGGAGAAGGGGGTGTTCACACCCGGTCTCGTATCTTTCCCCACATCTGTGCTGCTCAGTGTGACGGGCGCCCGATCCCCCTCCCTAGTCTTCAGGGAATTGCTGTCCTCAACATTCCCAGCTATGCCGGAGGGACCAACTTCTGGGGGGGCACCAAGGAAGATGATGTACGTACCGGGTGTGGGCAGGAAGGGCTGCTGGGGGTGGGTGCTGTCCCGTGATGGGTGCTGGCCGAGGAGCCAGGTAGACGGGGCCTTTCGCACGCGGGCTCATCATCTAGAGCAGTGGTGGCGAACCTGTGGCACGCGTGCTGCAGTGGGCTGTTTGTATCATTGGAACCTCTAAAAGCCTGGCTATCGGTGGTCTGGAGGAACGTGAAGCCCTGGCAGGGGCCGGGCACATGGAGCCTGCGGAGGAAGGTTGACAGCCAAGTCCAGTGGGTGTGCGGTAGCTGCAGGGCGTAGACCGCACGGGCTTGTGGAACTGGGTAGGAAGGCTGGCATTGTGCTAAGAACCGTGGGGGGTTTTCAGTCAAGCAATAGCTTCTCTGCGTCAGCACTGACCGCAGGCGTGCCGACTGGTATTCCAGACTGCACACACATTAGCGTGTGCGTCCCCCTAACGGCCCTTGAGGAGCATGCATGCTGTGCCCTCTGACAGTGAGGAAATGGAAGGAGACAGGAATTAAGTAACATAAGTTGCTTCCAGCCAGGAAGTGGCAGGTGTGGGATTAGTCCCAGGCAGCGGATTCCGAGCCACAGCAGAAGGGTGTCTGCATGTGAAGCAGCAGCTGCTGCGCCTCCTGTGGTGACTCTGCCTGCTAGGGGGGCCCCGCCTGGGGTGCCGGTGTGCAAGGAGGATGGGGCTCAGCTCTCATGCTGCCCTTTCAGACTTTCGCAGCCCCGTCATTTGATGACAAGATTCTGGAGGTGGTCGCCGTGTTTGGCAGCATGCAGATGGCTGTGTCCCGTGTGATTAAGCTGCAGCATCACCGTATCGCCCAGGTACTGACCCTGGTCCTCAGGGTCTGGCCAGGTCCCTCGGGCGGCCTGGCCTAGAAGCCCCAGATTGGCTGGCAGGGCACGGCCCCCATGGGGAGGTGACACTTGTGCTTGGGCTCCGGACAACCCTCGTTTCTGGCCCAGGGCCTTTCCACGGCTGGACGTGACAGTAAACTCCCCAAAAGAACTTCCTCAAACTCGTGTCCCACTGGATGCTCTGCCCAGATGGGGCAGGACCCAGCAGTGCGTGGGGCAGAGCCGGTCTCTGGCGGGTGGGTGATGTTTTGTGTCGGGAGGGCAGCGCACAGGTTCGGAGGCCCACCTGCCTGCCAAGGGGTGCTCAGAGTATGCTGGCCAGGGCGGGGCCACGGCCCGCACTCATGCTGGGACTGGCCGGAGCCTCCCTGCGCTTGCCTGCCTCCAGCACGAGGCTGCTTGAAGATCACATTTTTGGTTTTGGCAATATTCCTGATGAAAACAGAAACAGGACTTCCACCTCTTGGGTTCGTTCTGGAGGTGCTGGCATCTGACAGGGCCCTTGGGTGCTGATGCCACATCTGCACGCCAAGGCCGCCTGCACCAGCCAGGGTGGGACAGGGGACAGCAGCCCCGGGGCTGTGGGCACAATGTCCCTCCAGTGCTGTGCAGCCCTGGAGGCGTGGCTGGCGCACAGCTGACGGCTGTGGTGTCTGTGCAGTGTCGCACGGTGAAGATTTCCATCCTGGGCGACGAGGGCGTCCCTGTGCAGGTAGACGGAGAGGCCTGGATCCAGCCGCCAGGGTATATTCGGATTGTCCACAAGAACCGGGCACAGACGCTGACCAGAGATAGGGTAAGGATGGCTGTCCTACCAGGCACACGGCTCACACCTGTAATTCTAGCACCTGGGAGGCTGAGGCAGGAGGATGGCTGTGAGTGTGAGACTGTCCTGAACTGCATAGTAAGACCATCTCAAAAAACCGAACAGCAAAGGACAGCTGTGTAGGGGTTGGGCCAGGCTGAGCTGAGCTGCAGTGCTCACCTTTGTGCTCACGGAAGAGGAGCCACAGCACTTCATGCTTTGCTTTAAGATGCAAGGGTGAAGCTGCTAGGGCGCCTTGAAGGCCGCGCCTGTTCCCCAGCTGTGAGTGGCTGCCTGGCGCCCTCTGCAGCACGCTAAGAAGCATGACCCTGGGCTCTCGCACCCAGGCCTTCGAGAACACGCTGAAGTCCTGGGAGGACAAGCAGAAGTGCGAGCTGCCCCGCCCGCCCTCCTTCTCACTGCACCCCGAGATCCTGTCCGAGGAGGAGGCCATGCAGATGGACCAGTTTGGCCAGGCGGCAGGGGTCCTCATCCACAGGTGGGCCCTGTCTCCTCCGCGGCTTCTCTGGGCTCTGTGTGGCGTTTCTACGGCCCCGGTCCTCAGAGGTGGCTAGAGGTCTGCCCACAGCCTCAGGGCCACTCACAGACCGTAAAGCCCGGCTGGCTTTGTCAGGACACCCTGACCGCGTCTCCACCGTGCCTTCAGTAGAAACAGGTGCTGCACAGGCACTTGCTTCTCTGTCCTGCCTCGGACACCTGGTCCTGCCGTGGCCCTGGTGGCACAGTGCTCCGTGCTGTCACGTCCCAGGCCGTGTGGCCGCTCCCACCCGCCGCCCTCCGGCCCTTGTGATCGCCGAGTTCCTCTCCTCCTGTGCTGCACTCTCCCAGGCCCAGGGCTCTTGGCTGCCCCTTCCCATGTCTTCAGGCTTCCTCCCCTGCCCTGCCTCGGGGTGCCGGGTCCTCAGGCCTGCGCCTGCCGCTCTGTGCCCTTCCCAGGCTCCTGCCTGGTGGTGGCAGGTGCGGGTGTCCCGTCCCCGGCCTGGCTCCTGCCTCCTTGCTATGCCGCCTCCCTCCATAGCGGTGAGTGCTGCCGCTGGTGGCCTCCTCCAGAGCACATCCTGCTCCCCCTTTTCTGCCCTGTCGGTCACCGGGCAGGTCATGTCAGCTCCTCCCGCCCTGTCCCTGGCAGGCCTAGGCAGTCTGGGAAGCTACCTGCCTGCCCAGTGCTCCTCTCCACTCAGAGTTGCCCCTCTGCCCGGCTCTGGCCGCGCTGTCTGCCACACAAGGGCTGTTCCTTGGCCGTGGCCAGGACGGTCCCCGTCTCAGAGCAGGGCCCATGCTGTCCAGGAGGGCCATGTGGGGCCTGGGCATCACTGCAGGCTCTGCAGTGGGCCTGCCCGCTTGGCTGCCGGCCCTCACTCTACACTCCCCTCCGAAGGCCTGGATTTTGACATCAGATTGGCCTTCCAGGCCTCCGCTGTCTGCTGTTGAGGGGGAGGTGACTGCAGGGCCATCCTGTGCCAGGAGCTGGGACTGGGGCTGGCCCCACCCTGGCCTGCTGGCCCTGCCCCTGCCCCTGTCCCTGCGGTTCCGTGTGTCCCTCACCCTGACACCTGCATTTCTCTCTCCATGTAGCATCCGGGAAATAGCCCAGTCCCACCGCGCCGTGGAACAGGAACTCGCCCACGCTGTGAACGCCAGCTCCAAGGCCATGGACCGCGTGTACGGCAAGGCCAGAGCTGCGGAGGTACCTGGTCTCTTCAGTCTGGCTGCCCCTCCTCCTCAGCCTCGGCCTCCACACGGTGTCTGTTTCGGTTCCCTGCAGGGGCTGAACTGCGGCTTCGTCCAGGAAATGGTCGCCAATGTCAGAGCCCTGCGCAGCGAGACGGAGCTGCTGCTGGCCGGGAAGATGGCCCTGGTAAGCGCCTGCGGGGGCCGTGCTGACCGCCGCCAGGGCCCTGCACATGGAGGACAGCACCGTGTGGTCCAGGGAGCCCAGCCTTAAAGAGGGTCCTCAAGGTCCCCTGGTCTGCCTGAGGGGGCTGGTGGCACACTCTGTGGTGGCGTGTCCTCGGGTGGACGGAAAGGTACCTCTGCCTCAGCCGCCTGTGCTCTCCGAGTGCTGCAGTGTCACCTGTCCCCCACTTGGCCCTGCGGAATGGGCTGGCTGGACGATCCTGGAGGGTGGGCTCAGTTGCAGAGGGCAAGATGGGGCGGCGGCCTGCCTGTCCTCCTTGGCGCGAGGACACGGAGAGCCCTCACTAGAGACCTCTAGTGTCACCTTTGCTGTTCCTCCCTGCAAACATCGTGCTGACCCCAAATGCCAGAGCTGCCACCGGTGCTGCCTCCAGCATGGCTGCGCTTGGCACAGGTGTGCGGCCCAGGCCCCTGCACGACCAGGAGTCCACGGTGGGAGCGGCAGGGCGGCCCTGCGGCGTGTGGCCGCTCTGCTGGGCCTGGCCCCTCGCCGTGGCTTTGTTGCTGGGGAGTTTTGCTTGGTGTTCTGAGTGGCACAGCTCCCCACCCGCCCGGGCTTCGCTGACCTGGGCCCGACTACAGTCAACAGCTGGGTTTTTTTTCTTCATGGAGCAGCAGCTGGACCCCCCACAGAAGGAGCGCCTTGGGGCTGCCCTCGCCGAGATGGACCGGCAGCTCAGGAAGCTGGCGGATATGCCCTGGCTCTGCCAGCCTGCGGAGCCCGGGGACGAGGAGGTACGTGGGTTTGGGCGCCGTGCGCGTTTGGTGTGCTTCGGTCTCGAGCCCCCTGTGCCTTCCTGAGGCCTCTGTTACAGTGTGCCTCCGGGCAGGGGGAGGCTAGAAGCAGACACAGGAAGGAGCTAGGTTGGGCTTGAAAGTGAGCCCCGGCGCCGGTGTGCGTGGAACACAGCTGCAGGGTTGGCCTGGGTGCAGGCGGCGAAGGTGCGGCCAGTCGCAGTGTGTACCCCTGGTAAATACTGCCTGGACAGTTGCAAGTTTGAGCCGAGCCTGGGCACCTTAACGACTTAGCGAGACCCTGTCTCAAAAGAAAAGAAGGACTGGGGATGTAGCTTAGTATGGAGGCCCTGGCTTCAATCCCTAGTACAACTGAAACAGTCAGATGCCAAAAACCTTTCAACACAGGAAGATTAGGAATAAAACAATTCTAAGAAAACACAATTTTAGAAAATCTAAAGTAATGATATGCTGTGTTCCTCCTCTTACAATGGGATTCTGTCCCCAGTAAACACACTGTAGATTGTAATTGCATCTGATACAGCTGACCTACCACGTAGCTCAGCCGCGTCTGCCTTAAGGTGCTGAGAACACTAAGTTAACCTGCGCTACCTAACATAGTCTGTTTCAGAATAAAGTGTGCAACAGCTCGTGAAACTAATTGAATACCGTACTGAAAGTGAAAACAGAATTGCTGTATGAATATGCCATGGCAGAGTGGAAAAATTTTCAGTCTGACCATCCTAAATTGGGGACCATCTGTATATAATATAGAAGTAGAACTGTAGCCACAAGTGGCACACACACCTGTAACCTCAGCAGTTGGGAGGCTGAGGCAGGAGGATTACTGTGAGTTGACGCTCGGCCTGAAGTACATGAGGAAAAGAAAAACTGCATATCTAAGACAGTAGGAAAAAGGGTCACTTTATGTTAGAAAATGTACCGTTGTTATATAGAGTCATAAAACTGCCAAATAGGCATCTAAATGAGTTCTTCAAAAGTTTTTTCTAGTGTGTAGGTTTTTTTTGTACATCACCTTATTTTTAGTTTGATGTCACTGTGCTCTAATACAGTTGTCTGTGTGCTCATCCTTTGAAATTTGAGACCCTCTCCAGCCCACAGGCAGTTACCTTGTGTGCAGCTGTGTTGCTTACACTGCTGAGTCCCTATTGGTTTTCTACACCAGGATTAAAGATTCCTCTAATTTACTTCCTCTGCCCCTCCCTTCCTCCTGGGGATTGGTCACTGGCAGGCAAGCCCTCTGCCTCCGAGCAACACCCTTGGTGCTTTTGGGCTCGCTATGTGTAGTTTGGCTTTATGTATTTTAAGCTCACGTCAGGTGCACATAGGTTCTGTTCTTACCCAGTGGCCCCTTGCATCCGTAAGTACTGTTTCCAGCTTTAGGTCTGCTTGCTTGCTACTTTCTTCTTCAGCTTTTACTCTTGGGCTTTATTTGGGTATCTGTTGAGTAAGTAGCACATCGCACAGTGAGGCTCCCCGGGCTGGCTGCCAGAAGCAAGGCCTGGGTCCCTTGTTGCTGTCCGTCCCCCCGCCCCCAAACTTAGGGAGCGCGGCCCTTAGGAAGGAATGCGAAATGGAGAGCTGGCAGGAAAGCCTAACAAACGCCGGGACACTGGCTAAGCCACGTGTTCTAGGAATCTCCATATAATGGCATACACAGACATTAAAAATACCAGAAAATTTTAATCACATGAGAAATGCCTGTGTTATAAAGGGAAGAAAGTACAATTAAAAGTAGATACCATAATCACTTTTAAACCACGGTTGAAAGGCATTAATGCGAGCCGTTCATCCAAGAGCAAATCGGGAGTCAGACCCGTGAGGACGGCCGAGGTGGGGACGAGAGCGGGGCGGAGCGGGCTCTCACCGTGTCTCTCCTCGACAGCACGTGATGCTGGAGCTCTCTAAGCGCAGCCGCAGTGGGAAATTCCGCCTGGTGACCAAGTTTAAAAAGGAGAAGAACAACAAGAACAGAGAGGCTCACAGCAGCCTCGGAGGCCCGGGTACCGCTCTCTCCTGGCCCTGCTCCCCCTGCCCTCCAGGTCCTCGTGCGGTCACCTCCAGTCACAGGCCGTACCGTCCGTTGCGCCGAACCACACCCGCGCTTGTGTCCCCCTGGGTGCTGACCTCCGTCACACCCTGCTCAGTTGCACTCTCTGTGGAGACCGCGTGGGCCGCGGGGCCATCTGCCCACCTTGCCTCAGGGGTTTCTAGGTGGGAGGAGGAGAGCAGAGGTGACAAGACAGACTTGGAGACGCGACACTCTGGACTAGACTGTGCCTGCTCCCTCTCTCGGGCGGCTCACGCCTGTTTCCCTGATCGTTGATCAAGGGCCCTAATCCAGGAATCCAGGCCACCAGTGATCGTGGGTGATGATCAGAAAATGGCACGCAAGGCCCCCTTTCTCCGGCTCCGTAATTGGGCCTTACAATCTGCCTGAGGGCTTGGCCCGAGCCCTGTCAGCTCTTCCAGGGCCGGCGGCCCTCAGCCTGGTGTGGGGTGGCTGTGTTGCCACTCAGGCCAGCCCCCTTTCGATTTTTCTTTGCACGTTTGTCCGGAAGTTGGGTTTGGGTTAACGTGGTTCTGTGTGAAATTGGCTCTGCATGTCTCCCTTCATGCTGTGGCCCAGCAGTGAGGTGCGCTCCTCTAGAACAAGAGGAAATGCTGGCTCTAGCCACACTGAGATGCCCCCGTGCAGAGGGCGGTGTTCAGTTCCTCTTGGCATGGAGGTGTGCAGAAGGCTGGCGGCCCCCTGGCGGGCAGATTCCAGCACCGCTGCGGCTTGCACCCGTCTCTTGTGCATGGCTGGAGACGCTGCCTGTGGCTGGGTGGCGGGTGCTGGCTTTGGGGCAAGGGTGCTGCCGCCGCCGTGTTCAGCTGCTGCCCGCTGCCGGTGTCTGGGGTGCCGCCTGCCGCCTGCCTCACGCTGGGCTCTGGGCACTCACTGCACTCGTGCTTTTCCGTCTCCGACAGTTCACCTCTGGGGGACAGAGGAGGTTGCTGCCTGGCTGGAGCACCTCAGTCTCTGTGAGTATAAGGACATCTTCACGCGACACGACATCCGGGGCTCCGAGCTCCTGCACCTGGAGCGGAGGGACCTCAAGGTACTTCACAGGCGTCTCCCGGCCCCGCGCAGGCCTTGCACACACTCCTCCTCCCGCTTCCCCACCCGGCCACGCCCCGGCGCCGCAGTGTTCGCCATCCTCCTCGGACCTCTGTGTGCACCTCGGGTGATGGTGGCCGCGGCTTGGCTCTTGGCAGCAGTGGCTCCACCTGGCACAGCCAAGCCAGGGGACGGGCTGACCCAGTTGGGGGGAAGCCTTGGTTTTCTTAGCCGGGTTGAGTGACTGCTCAGCATCAGCCACTGTGCCAGGCTCGGAGCCCTGGGCTCACGGCAGCAGGGTGAGTTCCGGCGCGGGTCCTAAAGCCCATCACGTGTGGCTTTGTCCACTGCCCCACGCAGCACCCGCACCACCTCGCTCCGCGAGGAGCAGGGAGGAGGTCACAGCAGGGCCCTTCTGGCTGCGTCTTCTGGACGGTGACTCCTTGAGGCCACCTGCCCCCCGCTTGCTCCAGGCCTCTGTTCTAGCTTTGTCCTTTGGGACTGTCTTTGTTCACAGCAGTGACTTCATAGTGCCCAGGAAGTGTGTTGGGTGCCTGCGTGACTGTCACTTTGCCATTTCCATCTCGTCTCCTGATGTCCTTTTCACTCTCATCTGTGTCCGGGAGCCCACAGGGAGGGCCTGTCGGCGGCCGGCCTGTTGCAGAGCGGAGCCCCGGGCCTGCACCTCTGCGGCATCCACAGTGGCTGTTTTCTGTTGCAGGACCTCGGTGTGACCAAGGTGGGCCACATGAAGAGGATCCTGTGCGGGATCAAGGAGCTGAGCCGCAGCACCCCTGCCACCGAGGCCTAGCCTCCGCCTTCTCCGTCTGCATCCCCCGCCCCTCCTGCGACTGAGGCCTGGGCCGATGCCCCCGCCTTTCTCATGGTGCTACTCCCTTTGATGGTGACAGGAAGCCTCTCTGATTCTCGTTCCTAACAGCTCTGGTCTCAAACATACCAACAACACAGCTACCTTGGAAACGCCACCTTTCCCAGCTCGGAGTCGGGGCGCAAGCAGCATTGCCCACTCTGGACTTTTAACCAACCTGTGCCGGGGGCCACAGGATCATGTGAGGTTCGGCCCCGGTGCACCATGTACTCTGTAGAAACTGGTTGTCCTGTGGGGCTCCTTGCCACATGTCCTTGGTTGGTCACATCGGGTGGCATCACCTCCACCCTCCTGGCTCTCGGAAGCGTGACTAGGCACAGCCCGCAGCGGCCCCACGCCAGAATGCCTGACAGCCATTCGGTGCCTGACAGCCACCCGTGGTTCTCCACGGCAGCCCCGCAAGGCAGCCCACTGCTATTGTCCTGTTTGTTCCTCGGGTTGTTAAACTCAGCTCCTGCACTTTCCTGGGTTGAAAGTGTCCTGGATGTGCTTCCTGTCCTGTTTTAGTCGCCTCTGAAGAGAAGGAAAGCGTCCTCCTTCCTGAGAACGTGGGTGGCAGCCCCACTCCTGGCAGATGAGCCTCTCCTCCGCTCAGGGCTGGGTCCTCCCGTGCTGTGCAAGGGGCAGCTCTTCTGTTCCGCAGGACACTGCAGAGCAGCGTGGGGGGATAAGTGGGGTGGGTTTGGTGGCTTCTGTACTTCCGTGGAGAGCAAGCGGGTTTCCAGGCTTAGAATCTGTGGGCCTGTGGTGGCTTCCTGTTTGCTGCTGTCAGACCTGGTGTCCCTGCGGTGTCTGTGGGGACTCGACTCGGGGCCCACGCTGCTCCTGCCCCGCACCAGTCCCAGGTGCCAGCTTGTCCCCCACAGGGCGGACTGTGCCGGCGGATGGTGGTGCCGGTGCCTGGGGTGCCCCTCATGCCGCTTCCTGCCTTTCCCCGCCCCTCAGGCCGTTCACAGCACCGGGAAGGGCTTTGTCCTGTGGGGCTCCATAGGTGTGAGGAGGGCTGCCAGGTCACGGCTCCGCAGAGGACAGTGGCACTAGCACTGCTGCAGCCCTTCAGTTGAGTCACCCCATGTGACATGGACAAGCTGGGTAGGGAGCTGCTAAGGGCTTTGTCCAGAGGTGCCCGCAGGGCTGGGTGTAGACCTGGATGGCTTTGGGGTGTCCCGATGGCGTCCTTCTAGCCTGGCAACTGGGAGCCAGACGCCGCATTTCCCACCCTGTGTGCCCAGGCCAGATTCCCCCTGTGCAGCCGCCCGTCCTTGCGTGCACGTGGGCCGGGCCACCTACCGAAGGAGTCTGAGGTGGACGTACTTGCACTGACCCTGCGTGTGGCTGTCCCCACCCAGGAGTGGCTCACTGGGGTGACAGAAGTCAGTGCGCCTGGTGCCTGCTGGCCCAGTCAGAGCAAGCTGAAACTTAGGTGAGGAGGGGACGTGGCACTAAGGCCACCCCAAGTCCTCCATGTCCTCTTGGAAAGCCCTGGGTTTGGGTCAGGGGTGTTGTTTAAAATCAGTGTTGCCAGTTTCTGAGACGCAGTTTATGTAAAAAGCTTAAGTCAGAAGTGAAAGGCCCAGCGCAGGCGGTGCGGGGAGCGGCCAGGTGGCGGTAGGCCCCCACGGCCCGTGCCGGCCCCGCGCCCCCGGTAGCGTCGCAGGCCGGTGTCCTGGAGTCCAGGGCGCTGCAGTCCCGTCTTGGAGGGAGGGCCCCTGCGGTCCCGGAGAAGAGGTTTCGTGGCCCGGTGGGCGCCCCCTCGTATTTATAATGCTAATTTATACGGTGACCACCTGGCCGCAGAGGCCTCTGTGGATGTGTACATAGTCCGTTGGAGAGCTGTACATACGTCCTTCTGTGTATAATAAAATGAGCCTGTTTTTGATCTTCCACGGTCAGAGTCCTTGGCATTATTTTTTGTGCTCTGACATAAAATGCTGCTTAACTGAATTCAGTTGTTTTTCATCTGTTCTGAAAATAGGTCAAATGGTTGGTGGCTGCAAAACAAAACAGAAAGCCCTTGTCTTCCTCAGGATACAGGGTCTGGTGCGCAGGATTAAGCCGAGGGAGCCGGGCGGGGTCGCACTGCGGTCCTCACCCCGCGGTGCCCCCGTCTCTGCCCAGAACGAACAGCCCCGGCCTCGCGCTGTGCGGCTTGTTGAGCCCTGTGACAGCTGTGCTGTGGCGGGGACGTGAGGAGCAGGATGAGGTAGGGCTTGCCTGCCTCGGCCTCCAGGCGTCCAGAGAGGGTGAAGGGGCGCCACCTCGGTCCCTCGGGGACGCCTGCGCCCGCCAAGCCACTGTTCCGGCCAGCTGTGTGTCACAGCCGAACAGTCCACTTCCCGCGGCTGTGCCCCGTAGCCAGGCGGGGCCCTAGCAGGATGAGGAGCACAGCGTAGGTCTTCGGCACGCCTCTGCCGGAGTCGGGACCGCTTTCCGCTACCCCAGGGCGGGGCAGCCCGGCGTCGCTACGCGCGAACCGTGCGCCGAGCCCGAGCGCAGCCGGCGTGAGAGAAACTGAGCACCTCGACACCTTTACAGGTGGTTTTTCTTCCATGAAATCTTACCGCCTGCTCCGTGCTTACCCTGCGCTGTCCCCCACAGGAAAAAGGCAGGCCAGGGCGGGCCGCGGAGGGACTCCGAGGCCACGGCCCTCGCTGGGCTGGTCCCTTCAGAGCTTGCGATTCACTGGGCGTCCTGCCCCGGGAGGTGCGGTGGCGACGCCCGGCAGCGTGCAGCGCAGGCCGTGGCACCCACGCGGGCAGTGTGCGGACGGGTCCCGCCAGTGCCTCCCAGGTGCACGGGAGGAGGACGGGGCGAAGGGCGGCCTCGGAGGCCAGCGCCATCGGAAGGTGCCCCGACACAGCAGGACGTCGCGGCACGGCTGGGTGCCGAGCCAGCGCGGCTCCCCCTCTCCGCGCCGCGGCGCCGTGTTAGGAAGGCCGGGCCGAGGGGTGGGGTGACAGCCGCCGACAGCCAGCGCCGGCCGCGGCCCGTCTCTGGAGGCTCACGCCACGTTAACCTTCCCAGTGTCCAAAGTCGGCTCAGGAACACTGGGGCTGTGTCGGTCGTAAGTACAAGTTGGAAAAGACCCTTAGCCTTTATTTTCTCACCTACTGGAACGTGGCTGCTCAGGAACCCAGCTCAGCCAGTCCTGACAGCGGCCGTGGCTGTGGCCGCTCTCTGCGCCCGCCCTGCCTCCTGGGCCTCCTTCCCGACAGGAGAGGCCGTGGCACTGAGGCGGCCGTGAGGCCGTTCTGAGCTCAGACGGAGCCCTCCTCAGCGGCCGTCACCTGACTCAGACTAACTCGGCTGGGAGGAACCGGCACCCGTGAGCGGGCCGCCGGCGGAAGGCAGACCCGGCTCTCAGGGCCGTCGGCACAGGCGCTGCCGCGTGGGTCGAGTGGGAGGGACCCGCGTTGCGCGCGGCTCCCTCGGCAGTCGGCTGAGCGTGAGTGTGCTGTCCACGGCAGGCGCGTGGCACGCAGCGAGCCGTGAGCGTGGCGGAAGGAGGCCGGGCGGGCTGGTGCGAGGCGGGCGCCGGCGGCACCGTGCGGAGGGTGCAGAGCTGAGTGCGGTGTGCGCTTGCCTGGGTTCGAGCGCATCCGGCCACAAACCCACAGGGCCACGTCAAGGAGCCGGTGCCAGGGCAGGTCTGGCTGCGGGGCTATCTGAAGCTCCCCACGTGGATGGACAGAGAGGCTTCTGGTCCCCGGGGCCGAGCGCGTGGCCCAGCGCTGGAGAGGACGTCACCGTTCTGCGCTCGAAGGGCTTCCCGGCTGTGGAGACAGAGGCCAGCACTGACTCGCAGTCACAGGTCCCCCGGCCCAGGGGCTGGAAATGAACCCACGTCAGAGGGGCTGCAGGACTCGCGTTTGGACTGGGCAAGGATTTCCAGACCCCCTCACAGAGGACCCCAAGCCTGTCCGACTCAGGTCTTTCGTGGCCTGCTGGAGAGGGCAGAGTGACCCTTCCTCCCTCTGAACTGGACATTCGGCACGAACCGGACAGTTGGGCGCACCCGTGACGACGAAGGCTGCTTCTGTGCCCCAGAGAAAGAGCCCCCTGTTCACCCTTGCCCGCCCACACAGGAGCTGCCTGGCTTCTGGTTTGTCTGGGGGGCTGTGCCCTGGGAGGTGCATGGTCCAGGCCCACGGCCGCCAGCAGGGGGCGCTACCCCTGGGGTTGCTGCACCCTGCCTGGCCTTACTGCAGCAGTGCTGGTGAGTGGTGTTTTTCTCAAGGTAGCTTGAATTTACACACATTTTATGACGGATGGATTTGACTGAACTTTCGCTTTTGCACTACGGGGACTGAGCCCAGGGAGAACTGACCCACTGGAGAGGCTTCTCACTAAGTTGCCCAGGCTGGCCTTGAACTCACCATCTTCCTACCTCAGCCTCTCGAGGAGCCGGGATTATAGGGGTGTTGCCACTGTGCCAGGCTGGTAGAACGTTTTTTGTACTTCCTTCCCGGTGAACTGTCTGTTCACACTCCGACCTCTGTCTCTGGCTGGTTGTCTTTTTACTTACAATTATGTTTCCAAAATTAACAACAGCTACACCCTCTGAGCAGCCATTCTGCTCCCACAAATACTTCCTTCGCATACGCCCACGTCAGCACGGCCGAGTCAGCTGAGTGAGGGACCCTGGGCCCAGGGCAGCAGGCACCAGCAGGAAGTGCCCGCGCTCCCCGAGAGGACGTGCAGTGACACTCCCTAAAGGGCAGGCTGATGAGGGAGGGGTACAGACTTCACAGTAAGCTCCTTCATGGCTTTTGAATTTGGAAGCATCTTGCTACAATTCTCTAAAACAGACATGAAATGGAAATAAATGGAAAGCAATACCGGGTCAGCTGGCTGATCCTGGGGCTGGTGAGGACAGGACTGCTTTGATATTACGTGTGGGGGTTTCAGGGACAGCAGCGCTCATTTTAAAATGAGTGCCGACACTTAAATACAAGTGACAGGTTTGACCTGGAGTGAAGGTGACAGGGCCTGGAAACTTGGATGGCCCAAACCAACAGCCCAGTTGATACCTTGGGCTCTGACAGAAGCAGGGGAGAGCCCCGGAGGACGGCTGCATCTCCGTACTTGAGTGTGTGTGCCGGGGGTGCTGACATACGGAGGGTCTGACTTGGGAGACCCCAAGGCAGCAGAGCTGTGATCCCTGCCATCCAGGCTACTGCAGGGCGCCTGGTCTTGCAAGGTGCAGAGCTGGGAATGGGGCAAGGACTCATCTCTCCTGGGGAAGGGCTGACCAGGCCAAGGTGGGTGGGACAGGGTGGGGTCCCGAGGACAGAGCCCTGGAGGAGGAGATGCGGAGAGAGAAGACAGCGGCCCGGATGACTGGACTGTGTCTGCAGCTCCCCGGGGGGAGGGCCGAAGGGTGCGCACACGCCCAGCATGCTGCTGCCTGAGCAGACCGAGGGGCAGCTGAGGAAGAGGCCAACGCTGAGCTCGGCCTACATTCTAGATCGTCCCCCTACTGCCACCACCCGTCACCCTTACCGAAGTGTCAGTCTTGCCAGTCCCCGGTTCCGCTCTTCTCTCTGAAACTTGCACCACCCAGCAGAAAAGGTGATCTTTCAAACCATGCATCGGGTTACACCGCTCCCCACCGCAAAGCCCTAAAGGTCTCAGACCACACCAGGAGGACCTGCCCTGCTGGCCTCAGGGCCTGCCACCTCCATGCTCTGTGGCCTGCGGAGGCTCTTGCGCTTGCCACACGGGTACCCAACATGTTGAAGGCAAAGGAGACTGGGAGGTGAGCAGGGCCCGGCTGGGTAACAGAGAACCCCTAGCCCCACCCCAGGCCGAAGCAGTGGAGCACAAGGGGTGAGCACTGGGGGACTGCGAGGGGGCCCTGAGGCCACCAGGGCTCCTACAGGGTGGCAGGGGGTGGCGCCTGGGGAATTGAACTCCCGAGCTGAGTGCCAGGCCTTGGGGCCAGGAGCGGCCCGGAGGGTTCAGGGAGCCACAGCTCAGAGGGGAGGCTGGGTGAGTGTGCACAGGTGGGGGGCTGGGGGCTGTGCTGGAGGAGGGGTCGGCGGTGCGGAGCGGCCCTGGGGGAGCGTGGCTCAGGGCCCCAGGAGCGCGGACGGGTGCCGAGGTGATGCAGCCAGTGCGACGTGGGCTCAGAGGGTCGATTTCTGAACCAAAAGCCCAGGCACTGAGTAAGGCCGCATGTGGAAGGAGAGGACGGGTGAAGCCCTGAGGTGAGCAGACGGCCCTTCGGGAAGCCAGCGACAGGACCGAAAGGCGGCAGCAGCAGCCTGTGAGGTGCGTGCAGAGCACGGAGCTGGGACCCACGCACAAGCGGGGTCACAGAAGGTCAGGGAGCCCCGGAGGTCGCTGCATTTGAGCGCCAGCCCTCAGAATTACCTATGCCTTTTCCCCAGCGCCAGCTGCTTCAGTTTTTCTTTTCCAATGTCATCTCTGATTGTACTGAAATCCTCGTCGTCATCAAGCAGGAGATTCTACATTTCAAAATAATTAATGAGCAATGTTTTCAGACATCTGTTCAGCCTGTACTTAAAGAAAGAGACAGTTCAAGACCTGAATTAGCAACAGCAAATACTCAAAGTATACGTTAGGTTAACACATGCTCAAAGCCACACCAGGGCTTGATGAGAGCCAGCGGGGCGGGGGCGGGAAGTGCCTTCGAAGGGGGATCGTTTTGCTTGGGCTGGACCTCGGCCTTCAACTACAAACGCTCTGGCCGGGGCGGGACCGCCCAGACGCAGGCGTGTCCCCAGCCGCTGCGCCTGCGCGCCTCCGAGGAAGGCGGAATTCAGAGGGGCGCGGGCCGGCTGCTCAGTCCTGGTTTTGATTAATGACCCCGAGGAAGGAGCGGGCAGGAGGGGTCACATCCGAGGGCTTCCGGGGCAGCGGC